GGTTTCACTTTGCCTTTTTTCTTCTGTTTCGGCATCTCAGCAATATAATTAGCGTACCTCAGTAGCTAAAAACTAATTGCCTATGCGCTCTTATCAGAAGTAACAAAAACAAGGAAAAAGCCATAAATCAAACCATCCTCTGCTACCAGAATGTCAGGGGCTTTTATTAATCCCATGTTTGGGTCTGGGACTAATTACCCTGGTTTGGAGGAGATGGGTCGTGGCTTATCCTTGTTTCAATAATCTGAAAAGAAACGCGAGGGAAGGTTTCTAATAAAACTCATTTATTTGTTATAAAGAAAATAAAACACCTCACTAACTAAGAAAAGTTAATTGTTACATTTTTGAAGGTAATTCGGGCCGGCTATCTTTCAGCCGGACCTTGCTGGAAAGAGAACAAAGGAAGAGTGTGTGAAGAGCAAGTGAAGGAATGTGGGTGGATGCGGAAACACGTAGCTTACTGATAAGAAGTTGGCAAAGCTACGGAGAGTCTGACAGTCCAGAAATAATGAGCTCAGCTGGTAAATAAAATAACGCAGTGACACTCCAGGCAATGGGACATCACATCAAGGGCATCATTGGGGTGGCCTGAGGTTGAAATGTACAACTGCGTGTCATCGGCATACAGTTGACACTTCACCCCAAAGCCACGGATGATCTCACCCAGCGGCTTCACATAAATGTTGAACAGGAGGGCCGAGAGGACTGACCCTTGCGGCACCCCACAAGTGAGGAGCCTCGAGTCAACTTCTGTCCCCCTGTCAACACAGATTGCATACAGTCAGAGAGGAAGTAGGAGAACTGCCGTAACATGGTGCCCCCCAATCCCATCCCCTCCAGCCAACGCAGCATGATAAAATGATTGATGGTATCAAAAGCCGCTGAGAGGTCCAGGATGACAAGGACAGAGGAGCAACCCCTGTCCCTGTCCCTCCAGAGGTAATCAACCAATGTGAACAATGCCATTTCCATGCTGTAACCCGTCCTGAAGCCCGACTGGCATGGATCTAGATAGACAGCTTCATCCAGAAATTGAAGAAGTTGTTGCACCACCACACTCTCAACAACCTTCACCATGAAGCAGAGGTTGGAGACAGGAGGGTATTTAGCTAATACAGCCAGGTCCAGGGAAGGCTTCTTGAGGAGGGGCCTCACCACCACCTCTTTCAAGGCAGATGGGAAGACACCCTCACTCAACGAATCATTAATAATCTCCTGAAACCAGCCTCATGTAACCTCCCGGGACACCAGCACCAACCAGGAGGGACATGGGTCCAATAAACATGTGGTAGCTTTAAGCGTCCCCAAAATCCTGTCCACGTCCTCAGGAGCCACAGGGTCAAACTCCTCCCAGATAACACTCTCAAGGCTCACCCCCATCATCCCGTCCGAAACTACCCAGTCGGAGTCCAGGCCGTCCCGAATCTGAGCGATTTTATCATGCAGATATTGCACAAAATCCTCAGCTCTACCCTTCAAGGGGTCCTCCCTTGCTTCCACTAGAAGTAGGGAGCGGGTCACCCTAAACAGGGCAGCTGGGCGGTTCTCTGCAGATGCTATAAGAATGGAAAAATAATTAGATTTCGCCACTCTTATTGCCACTAGGAAGGTCTTGATATAAGATCTCACCAGTGTTCGGTCAGATTCAGTGCGGCTGGCCCTCCAATCACTCTCTAGGCGTCTTTTCTGGCGCTTCATCTCCCTCAGCTCCTCAGAGAACCAAGGAGCTGACTGAGATCAGCACGTGGTCCAAGGCTCCAGCGGCCGCCCTATTCCAGGCGGCCACCAGTTCCTCAGCCGAGTTGTGAGTCAGAGCCTCTGGGAATGGCCCAAGCTCCGTCAGGAACCTCTCAGGGTCCATCAGGCGCCTGGGACAGAACCACCTGGTTGGTTCCATCTCCCTGTGATGAGGGGAAGCGGTCCGAAAGACTAGCTGAAGGAGTGAATGATCTGTCCATGACAAGGGCTTAATAACTAGGTCCCCTATTGTGAGATCATTCAACCACTGACCAGAGACAAAAATCAAGTCCAGCGTGTGTCCCCCAATGTGGGTGGGGTCATGAACTAACTGGGTCAGGTCCATGGCCATCATGGAAGCCATGAACTCCCGAGCTGCTTCGGACGTTTCACTGACGGATGGCAGGTTGAAATCCCCCATGACCAGAAGCCTGGGGTTATCTTTTCTCCTTTCCAATTTTTAGCAAATACAATTCTAGCTGCTGTTAAAAGATTCACAATTAAATATTGCAATTCTTTGCTGTATGTCTCTGGTAAGATCCCTAATAAAAATGTCTCTCGTTTAAAGTCAATATGTCTCTTAGTCATTTTTTCCAACCACATGTGTACCTTAGTCCAATATCTCCTTGCTTCTGCGCATGTCCACCACATGTGGTAGTAAGATCCTGGAGTCTGATGACATTTCCAACACTTCTCTGATTTATTCTGGAACATTCTGGCTATCCTTGCCAGGGGTAGATGCCACCTGTAAAATATCTTATACAAATTCTCCTTATATGCTGTAGACATTGTCATTTTATAATTATGTGACCACAATTTTTGCCATTTCTCTAAATCAATACCATATCCAAAATTCTTCCCCATGCTATCATTGATTCTTTAACTTGTTCTTCTTCCAATTTTGCCTCTAACAAATAACCATATAATTTTTTAATTACATAGTCATCAGGACCCATTAAAATCTTATCTAAATTAGTCAAAGTGTTGTAAAAACCTTCTTGTTTGAGATCTTTGTGATATCTAGTAAATATTTGCATATATGAAAACCAGTCCATCTTACATCCCTGATCTTCTATTTCTTGCTTTAATTTAAGTTCACCCTTTTCAGCCAACAATTCCCTATATCTAATAATTTGTTCCTTTCTAAATGTCACTGGATAAGAAAAAGCTTCAATTTGAGAGACCCAGACTGGAATCTTCAAGTAGTGGAATTTTTTAACCTTCTCCCAGTTCAACAATAAGGCTTCACAGATCTGGTGTCTTCTAAAATACCCCTGTATTTTAGTTCCTGTTCTGTTCTGTTCTGTTCTGTTCTGTTCTGTCCTGTTCTGTCCTGTCCTGTCCTGTCCTGTCCTATCCTATCCTATCCTATCCTATCCCATCCCATCCCATCCCAACCTATCCCCTCCCCTCCCCTCCCCTCCCCTCCCATCCCATCCCATCCCATCCCATTCCATCCAGAGGTAGGTTTCAACAGGTTCTGACCAGTTCTGGAGAACTGGTAATGGAAATTTTGAGTAGTTCGGAGAACTGGTAGTAAAAATTCTGACTGGCTCCACCCCCATCTATTCTCTGCCACCCAAATCCCACCTGATTGGGAGAAAAGGGGGATTTTGCAGTATCCTTCCCCTGGAGTGTGGTGGGAATGGAGATTTTACAGTATCCTTCCCCTGCCATGCCCACCAAGCCACACCCATCAAGCCATGCCATGCCACACCAACCAAGCCACAACCACAGAACCGGTAGTAAAAAAATTTGAAACCCACCACTGATCCCATCCCATCCCATCCCATCCCATCCCATCCCATCCCATCCCATCCTATTCATTCTTACACTACATTACACCACATTCTTTACCCCATTACACTCCACTCCATTCCAGCTGGTGTAATGCAGTTTTCTGTGGGCTTTCATGGAATGCTTCTTCACCACAGGTTGATTCTTCACTTTTTTAAAATGCATTGTTATTTATTTTATATAGTCATTGGTATTTTCATGATTGATTCTTGTACATCATCAATATTTTTTTCTGGAGACCCATAGGAAGACGTATGAAACATCACAATGAGACTGGTAGGAGTATGAATTTAATAAATCTATCAATTATAACTCTGGTTCAACTAAGAGTGCCTTTTATTTATTTCATTCATGAGTTCAGGATGAGATTGAAGAAAATATCCGATGGGTGCAATATAAACAAAAAAAGGACACTAGTTTGCATCATACAAACATCGAAGCGGGGAAAGATACAAATTCCAAGTTCCCGCAATCCATTAGATTGTCTTTTCACCCAAGCACCAATGGTGCTGTGGAAAGGACTAATGCGATGATAGAGCGGTATCTACGGTGCTATGTGTCTTATCAGCAAACAGACTGGTCTAGCTTAATACCGTTTGCTGAAGTAGCATACAATAATGCCATGCAACGTAGTACTGGGCTCAGCCCTTTCTGCATAGTGACGGGACAAGAATTCCCAGCTATCCCAGAATTGGAACAGCGAGTGGCAGGAGACGAAACGGAGGTTGATCCAGCCAGTTGGGCCAATAAGATACGGGAAGTGTGGCTGTAGGTCAAACAGGCATTAAGTCCTGCTGCAGAGGAGTACTAGAGGGCTAGAGGGCAGGAAATGGACCACAAAATCTGTCTTCTTCAAAGCCAGAAAGAAAGTTTGCAGATGTGGGAAAGGGAGGGTGAGGATGAGGGGGGAAAAACAATTGTTGTGCCTCTCATTCAAGGGTTGCAAAACTATCTATTCAAAATGACTTATGACCATTGAACCTCCGGTTCTACCCAGTTATTCAAGTGTTTCAAAGCTCTTATCTACTCAAACAGACTTATGACCATGAAACATGCTATTCTATACAGTCATCATACTTGATGGAATCTCTTAAAAGGAGACAATTATGCAAATTGGATACTCGCATGTATTGGACTTCTGACGGAATTTGTTTGAATTTCCTAGAATTATTTTTTGTGCCAGAGATTTCTTTGATCTTTGCTATTGAGAAGAAGACATATAGCCAGCTTTTTAATTTACCCCATGATTCGTATGTGATGACTACAAGTGATGTGCATCAGGGAATTCCCTCTGTCCGATTGCTTCAGAAAAAAAAACATACACCTTCCCTGTTTAAACAAACTCTCATTTGTATTTAACTGCACTTCTTCTAACACACTGTATTGCATATGAATTAAGATGACCAGTAAAGACAAATTTACAATTCACATTTAATCGATATATTTAGTCAGAGTTCACCATAACATACTACAATATGTCAATAAATCAATAAAGTCAATAAATATGTCAATACATTAATTGGTCCTGTAGTTTATAACTTTATAGACCCCACTTATAATTGCCTACCAGAAGGGGAAAAACACCCCTTCAAAGCTATCCAAATCTCCAGGAGACGGGGCAACATAGAACATCACTGTCTCAATACATTGTTCTCTGGCTTAAATGTTGAAGTGGGGAAGTTCCCAAACATGTACATATAAAGAATATCAGGCAAACATAAAGATTTATTAAAGCTTTCTCTTCATGAGCTGGTGCTTATCATTAAGCTCAGGTCTCATCACAATGATAAAACACTTGGGAAAAAAGATGCACACCAATAAGCCAGCACTGGAGGAGACCATGGAGAAGATCTCCACAGCCAATGTATATTTTCCCCTAGTGCTTAGATAGGTTGGAATAAAACACAACCAAACACTGCAGAAGACCAACATGCTGAAGGTGATGAACTTGGCTTCATTGAAACTGTCAGGTAAATTCCTAGCTAGAAAAGCAGCAGAGAAGCTAAGCAGAGCAAGAAAACCCATAAAGCCCAAAACACAGTAGAACATGACCGAGTCTTCATGGCACTCCAGGTTAAGTTCTTCAGGTATTGAATGTGCATCAAAATCTGGATATGGTGGGGATGTTATCAGCCAAACAGCACAAACACATATTTGAACAAGGGAGCAGGATAGAAGAATGAAACTGACCATCCTTCCCCCAACCCATTTCCTCAATCTGGAACCGGGTTTCGTGGCCATGAATGCTAGAACCACAACAAAGGTTTTGGCCAAGACACAAGAAACTGCCACAGAAAAGATGAGCCCAAAAGCTGGTTGTCGAAAGAGACACACAATCGTATTGGGCCTCCCAACAAATAGAAAGACACAAAGGAAAGAGAGGAGAAGAGAAACTAGGAGTGTATAAGTGAGATTCCGATTGTTGGCTTTGACGATGGGAGTGTCTTTGTGTTTCATGAAGATTGTTATTACCAAAGCTGTCATTAAAGAAAAGCAAAGAGAAAGAACAGTCAGACTGATCCCCAAGGGCTCTTCATAGGACAAAAAGATGAGCCGCTTTGGAATGCACATATTTTTCCCAGGATTTGGATATTGATCTTCTGGACATAGAGAGCAGTCATCTATGTCTGAAAAAGAACACAGTGGAATTGATACAGTTGATTACAGACAGTGTGGTACCCCAATGTTTTAGTCCCATTATATTTGGAAATTTCCTACCCTTCTCCTTTGATATTTTCCCCTCTGGACATAGACGACAATCATAGCAACAAGAGAACTTTCCTTCTTTCTTGGCCTTGCTGTGTCCTGTCTCACAAGGATTGTTACACAAAGATAAAGGTAATGCCTATCAACGAATGAAGAAGAATATTTTAAGATACAGAGAGGAAGGGAAGTACTTTGAGTGTTTCTGTGGTATCAACAGATTGAAAATGAATAGCGGGATGACATAACTTTAGATGTAATTGCTCTGAAATTATAATTAATTAAATCTCTACAATAATTGTATTGATAGCCTTCGTTAACCAATTGTCACTCTTCAAAGACAATTTCTCTACTAGTTAGGTAAAGATGTTGGTTTTCTCAACTTCTGAATTTTGATGTCAGCAAACTAAAGAGATTTAGGGTGCTGGCTAGCAGCTTTTACTTCAGAACCATGAAAACCATTGTCCATAATTAACAGGGAGCCAGTAAAGTATATTTCCTAATATTCAATAGCAATTGCTAGAAAAGTTAAAAAAGTATCTTACTGATATCTTTCCTTTCCCAGGAAATTTGTACCTAGGTTAGTTAGGGATGACACTGTGACACTTTCATCAATAAAGATATTTAAACAAAGGCAAACAAATCTGGATTCAAAAAGCTAACCTGGTTAAAGCCTACTGGCCATGTGATGGAATCTACAGAAATATTGAAGAACTTCTCTGCTGGAACTGTGGGATCTATCACTCCAACTTTGACCCTAAGAAAAGATTGGTTGGGGAATGTGATCCAGTTGATAATATCAAATCCACCAATGAATTCTCCATTTGTATCAAAGGAGATCTTTTCACCAACACTGTTGTTGAATCTGACACTTCTCAGAAAAGAATGAACCTGAAACGCAGAGCCAATCAGAGAGGAACAAACTGAGGGAGGGAGAAATAATTCATATATTCAAAACATACATATGAATGTTTCTTTAAACAAAGACAATATAAACACGTTTTTTATTTTTGTTGTAGGCCAGTATCAAATAAATAACATAGCAATCATTCTAAAATAGCGGTAGAGATTACATATCAGATTCCTGAATTAAAATTAATATAGAATTGTAAAATAAACAACTATGAAAAAAATAAAATTAAGCTCTGTAGTTTAATTGCAAAAGATACTCAAGCCAGATCACTACTAACAAATATGTAATAAATCCTAGGATGTATAAAACTACAATATAATTGCACTCATTTCACACACTAGCAAGATTGTACTCAAAATCCTACAAGCCTTCAGCAGTATGTGAACCGAGAAGGAAGAAGTACACATGATTTTTTGGAAAGGCAGAGGAAGTAGCGATAATTTTTCCTGCATTTGCTGGATTATGAGAAAGCAAAGTACTGTACTTCTGCTTCATTGATTTTGCTAAAGACTTTGATTATGTGGATCACAACAATCTATGGCAAGTTCTTGAAGAGTTGGGAGTACCAGACCACCATAACTGTCACCTGAGAAGGTTAATGTCAGCTCTGCCTGATTGAGCTTTGCACCTCACAGGCTCCTTGCCGTCAAAGGCTGGAAGAGATGGGGAGGATGAAAGAGCAATGAAGCTGTGTTTGTAGGTGTTGGGAAATTGGGAGGGGGAAATGACAGGTGATAAAGACCAGAGTAGCCAAATCTTGTTTGTACCAGCATCCCAAGGACAAGCACTCTGAGAAATATGTGAGTTATCTGCAAACATTTCAGCATTCTCAAAACATCTTGGTGAGCTGTGGTTGGCTGGAAATGGACTGGTCATAGAGGTGGGGGAAGAATGAGATGTGGGTTATGTGGGTTTTTATAACTTGCAAGCACGGGAAATTCAGAGCTGGCTTCACATTACTGCAAACAACGCCTTTAGTAAAAGAACCCTTTGCTTTAACCAAATGGAGTCAAGGGTCTTTCTTTTCTAAGGAATCAGATTGGGGTAGGTCTGGCACCTGCATGCCAGCCAAGAAGCAACACTTAGAACCAGACATGGAATAATTGATTGCTTCTAAATAGGGTAAGTACAACAAGGCTATATATTGTCACCTTGCTTATTTAAATTATATGCTAAGTACATCTTGTGAAATGCCAGGCTGGATGAATCACAAACCAGAACTAGGATTGCTGGTAGATGTCACATGTAAATGCCTTATTCTCTAATGTGTAAATAGTATATGAACGGGGTATCAGGGGTTAATTTATTCTTCACTTCTTAATGTATTCATAATTCACCACTCCCATACTTAGCTCCACCCATTGTATATATAAGGAGCTGTATACACCATTTTCCTTGCTTCTATCTGTGAATATTCAGTGAATATAGAATGCCTTGTGTAAATAAAGAGAGATATATTTGAACTCTTAACTCTTACTAAATTTATTGAGTCTGATCCTGAAAATATTGCAACAAGCTGGTAGCAGAGGATGGTTAATTGACTCAATAAAAAAATCTATAAAAAAATGTCTAAGAGAGATAGGCCCAACACCAGGGCATACAGCAAAGAAATGGAAACGGATCAAAAAATAATCAACGAATCCACAAACGCGATTTCGAGAGAATCCGAAGAATACACCACTGAAGACGAAGAAATAATAGATGAAAATGATGATCGGGAGGAAATCAAAATAGAAAACAACGAACTCAGGTCAGAGATATTAAAACTATTAAAGAGCCAGAAGAATGATGAAAGCCTCATCGCGAACCTCCAAGATATGCTGAAAAACAGCGGAGCAGCGAGAGAGAAGCACATCACTACTGAAAAACCAAAAGACCCAAAAATAGTGAGTGATATGACTACAGAAAAAAATACTATGAAGAAGAAAAACGGTAACCCCGCACGAAATTTTGAATGGCAGCCATCTTGGTTTCAACAGACCTCCAGGGTGAGCGAAGCAGAGCCAATCAGAAAGCTCGATTCAAAATTTCTGGCGCGAAAAACATTACCAGACAACAAAAACGAAAAAGAAAATTCAAACACCTCAGAAGAATCAGAATCGGAAAGTGAAAGTGATTCAACAAATAATCAGATAAAATTAGCAATGAAAACGCTTTTTGCTGCATTTGGGCCAAAACTAAAAATTACCAAAAAGCTAACTAAGAAGCAAGCGAGCAAGCCAATGCCTCAAAATCTACCCGCTCCCATCCTGAATACAAGAGCGACGACGCCCGAACCCAGAGAGCCCTGCCGATACCACCCCACGCCACAGACCGATGCAAGCACCAACGCTCTCAAAAGAAGAAAGAGGACAGCCGACATCGTCAGGACTCCCAAGATCGAGCCAGAGACCGATTCGTCTGAGGAAGAGCAGAACGAGCGAGCCGCAACGACGAGAACCTCTCACGACGACTCCAGGGACGAAATGGACAACGCGCATGCGCGAGACTACGCAAACGACCCAGGAAGACATGAATTGCTGAGAAGACCGTGCAGGCTCGTTGCGAGCATCCCCACGCCGTTTTGTAACTTTCTGCATTTACAAGACCACGGACTACCTCAGGTTGTAAGTAATGGACCTAATAATGTCGGAAATTTGCCCAGTGACTTCCCAAAGCTGAGGATAGATGGCATTAATTTACAAGAATGGTATCAGCAGCTCCAGGTTGTCTTTATGAAAGAAAACTTACTGTTTTTTATCACTAGTCCCCCCAAAAGACCTTGGACCCTAAAATTAGACTGTTTACACCATAGAGCATTTTTCTTATTAATTTCTAGTGTATCTCCTGCTATGTACCACAGCATTAAGCAAAATCTGACTGTTTCAGAAATTATTCAATGCATGTTCAATCTATTTCACAGTGACAGTGTAGCTACTACCACAAGGATGTCTAAAGATTTCTTTTCATCTAGGATAAAGCCAGGGGTTTCCATAAGTGAGCACTTAATATCTTTAAACAAAATAAGAGCTGAACTGCATTTAAGGGGGGAGGTGATTTCAGATCAAACAATGAAAAATGTTATCATCAACTCACTTGACCCATCATGGGATAATTATATGTCACATTTAGACACAATCAATCTAGGATACTTATCCATAGAAAGCCTATCCAATAAGTTAATAGCTGAAGACAATTCAAGGAGGAGTCGTTCTAACAATCACATAGAACGCAAACCATATAGAAAAGTAGCTTTTCAAGAAAAATATAATGAAACATTTAGATGCCACAATTGTGGATCTAGGGAACACAATAGAAGAGATTGCCCCAAAATTTCAAAAGAAAGACATAGGTCAGAATACAGAAACAAATACAATTACAGACAGTCTTCCATTGATAGACATAGATATAGAAGCCCGCCAAATTACAAAGAGAATAGAGGGGGCAGAGATAATTCAAAGGATAGAAAATCTGGTTCACTGAATGGATTAAATAAACAAGACAACACTAACATACAGCAATCTGAGAACAATAATTGGCTCATTGATTCTGGAGCAACTAATCACACCACCAATAACAAAAATATACTATCTTCATTTGTAGAAGATAAATTTGTAATAAAGGTAGCTAACCAAGAAAAAGTTCAAGTATTAGGTAGAGGGAATATAACCTTACCTGGCCTAGGAAAAATAGAGGGGGTATTACTAATACCCGAAATACCTCATAACATACTAAGTGCCATAAAACTAAGCAGGGATTCTGATATTAACATTGTCTTTTCTAAAGGAAAAGCGACCTTGGAGAAAAATAAAACAGATATAGGTACCGTGATGATTAAAGGGGGTCTACCTTATTTAATAACAAAAGAAAAATGGTTACATAACATTGATTGAAATATGGAAGATTGTATTGAAGTAGATGATGAAAACATTAGCAATAGTGACAATGATGAATGTAAAATAGCTCATGATCACAAAGATGTACATAATGAAAAAAAACCAAAAATAGGTAAGCCAATTCATGATGAGTGTGCTCATATTTTACATAGGAAGTTAGGACATGCCAGTTTTCCTGTAGTACAAAAAATGACTGAACACACAGAAGGTGTTAAAATAAAAAATTGTGAAAACTATTTGGAATGCTCAGTATGTAAATCTACAAAACTAAAAACTAGCCCCAGACCAAGGAAATCAACTAGGTCAACCAACAAAATTTTTGATTTAGTACACATGGACTTAGTTGGTCCACTAACTCCATCAATCACTTATAGAAAACGTTACTTCTTGACCATAGTGGACGATTACAGTCGCTATGGGTTTGTTTATACATTAAAACACAAAGATGAGACTTTTCAGAAATTTAAAGAATTTTATAAGCGCGTAGAAACACAACACAATACCAAAATAAAACAAATCATGACAGATAGAGGATGTGAATTCATGTCTAAAGAATTCTCCCAATGGCTGAAGGACAAAGGAATGTTACATTACACATCTAGCCCATTTTCTGCGTTTCAGAACGGAATTGTAGAGAGGAAGAACTCAACGTTACAAACCATGATTAGATGCACATTGGAAGATGCTGGCTTAAGCAAACAATTCTGGTCAGAAGCCCTACATTATTCCAATTACACACAGAATAGAACCTGGTCCAGCATTGTAAATAAGACACCATATGAAGTGATGTACAATAGGAAACCAAAATTAGCACACATGCACATATTTGGAGTCACTGCAGACGTACACATACCTAAACAATTAAGAAGAAAGGGAGAAAATGTGTCCAGAAGGCTCAGATTTATGGGATATGAGACAGGCACTAAAGGATACAGATTCATTGATAATAATAACAAATTTATAGTTTCCAGAACAGCTGTGTTCCATGAGCAGGCCAACTGGTCTAAAATACATCTTAATGAAATATTTCCAAGTAACAACAAAGATACAAAATCCCAAGAAAAAGGGATTATAGAAAAGCAAAATGACAACAAACATAGAAA